CCCGGCTGGCATATACTTGTGTACACAACACACGCGCCCGCGCATGTATATACACATACGCATACACACGTGCATAGCCCCCCGGCGGATGCACACGCTCGCGTTCTCGCGACACCGACCGAGGAAAGGAGGATGTAGACGCGAGAGGGAGAAAGAGAGAAAGCGCGCGCGCGGCGAGGGTAGACATTTCTGTGTATATTTTATTGTGCACATATTGCGAACCGTTCTCCGCCAAGCCGCACGACACACACGGACGCGTGTCAAACTCACACCGACGTGCCTCTCTCGCTAGAACCCCGGGGGGCCTCCGAAGGGAGAGGCGGAGGAAGAGGAGGACGAAGTGGTGGCGAGGTCGGCGTTACGGGGGATCGCGCCGTGGTCGGTTGGGCGAGGTCGAGGGAGGAAAGCGAGGAGCAGCGCGTGGAGAGGTCGGCAGCGGCGGTGGAGGCGGCGGCGATGGCGTGGAGAGCTCGATTTTTCCGATAGCAAATTTTGCTCTTCGCTTTTTCCCCCTCGGCCCTGCCCCCCTCTGGAACCGACGCGCCACCGCCAACGCGTCCCCACCGTCAACCACCGCCACCAGCCCCGTCGACCACCCGCACCCCCGGCGGCTGCTGCTCCCGCGAGCTTCCCCTTCCGGCGTGCACCGCGTTTTCTACCCCCGAACGCCGGCGTCCCATTCGTTCCTCCTCCGCCCGTCGCGACGGCCCCGGACTCGCCCTCTTTTTTCACCCTTCCGCCCCTTCTCCCTTTTGCACGTCCCTCTCACCCTTCTTCCCTCTCAATCACCATCTGCTCCTCCGCCTCCACCTGGCGCGGTCCGACCGATCAAACCAGTGGCACTGCAGACACAATAAAAACGGGAAAAAAGCGCCGGCCGCGCACACATTTCGCGCAGTCACTCACTCTCTCCTCTCTCTTCCCTCCCCCCGACAAGCGAGGGAGGGAGGGAGGATGGCGATGCCGGACGCTTTTGAGAAGTTATTCATGAAGCGCCCGACGAGATTCCTCGGGGCGTCGCGTTTTTTTCCGGTTTTTTATTTTGCTTCCCCGGACGCGGGCGACACTCGCCGATAAAAATATCGAAACGTACGGTTTTTCGCGGCGGATGTTAATCCGTTTCGTCCATTCGACCGGGCCCCGGCGATACCGCTTCTTCCTCGCGACAGCTGTCCTTATCTCGGATCCGCGTCTCGCGCGGCTTAGAGTCCCTCGGCAGCCAGGCTTGGATTTTTTCGTCGCGCGCGAGCGAACAAGGCCGCGAGCGCCGAGCGGGTATTGACCATCCGATATCGATATTTCGCGACGCTTTATCGCGGACGTGCTCGTTAAACCGATAAATGAATAATGAGCGGGCCGTATATGGGATGGATATAGAGAGACAAGCGCAGAGGGGGGCAGAAGCGCGGGTGGCGGTAAAGGGAGCGGCCGGGGGGAGGGGTTTTGCGCGCGCGAGGGTGGCGGCGACGAGGGGAGCGAGCCCAGCGAATCGAACAAAACAACGAAATCGAATCACTCGTGGTGGCCGCCCGTACTTTTCATGCGTGAATTTTCCGACTGCCCGACACGTACTGCAGCTGCGGAATCGCCGGTAATAGCGTTAGTAAAATCGAGAGTAATGCCTGAAAGCGTTTACAATACGCATCGCTTCCTGCAAATAAAAACGTGGGAGCGCGCGCGCGATCGCCGTCCGGCGCAACAAAGCGCGACCGCGTGGTCATCGGCCGATGACGCACGACGAAACGGGTCAAAATCAAACGATACCACCTATCGTGACACACAACGTTTTCGATTCCGCTACTCGCTCGTCCGTCCGGCCGAGGGAAACGATAAGAAGAATGACACGTCCGTTAATAACTAGCGACGCGTAGCCGCCGCGATTGCCTCCGCGATATATTTCCAACAATCGACATTACCGCCGATACCCGTAATTTCCGATCGATATAAACGAGTAATACGGGCGTCGATATTCTATTAACATCCCCCTCGTGCCGAGGAGTAAAAACTACTACGGCCGCCGACAACGCGCGATGAGGGGGCCGTTTATTGCCGTGCGAGCGCGCGCCCGCGATATCTCCATAAACTATCCGGCGAGCGTGATTCCGGCTGACAATGATTATCGTACAGGTGTAACAGGAAAACGTAACAGCTCGGCTGCGGTCAGACGGCTGACGATGATGACAGTAATTGCCGAGGAATTAGCGACGTTAATAACCTCCAGGCAAGAGGCAGGGGAGGGAGCAGCAGCATGCGTGGACACTTACCGCGGGACTGGTCGGCGTTAATGTAACACCCGATAAATCGCGACCACCGCGATATTTCGCTGTGCTCTTTCGCGTCTCGTCGTCCGTTATTCATTCCCGCCCAGTCGCACGTTTTTTATTCTTCTCCCCCCCCCACCCTCTCTCACTCTCGCGTTTTTTCGTTTTATTTTCATCGCGTCGCATCGAGCGCGGCCGCTCGGACGACAACGCCCCGGCCTCGTCATAAACGCGGGCTATTAATCGCAGGGCCGCGTGGCAGGAGCGAGAGCGTGTCGACGAGACGAGGCTAGCTGGCCGGCCGGCACGGCATTTCGATTTTATAAATATGAGACCGGATACGCCGGGGCCGCGCCGCTGATCGTACACCGCCGCGGCGCGTACGAGAGCGTGTAATTCGTGCGCGCGCGCGATAATACCGCGCGATAATAATAAATCCCTGCCGGGCGTCGTCCGGCTGTCGGCGGCGCGCGATAAATCCTAATCGAATTAAAAGTAACCCAGGCGACAACGACGAACGGAACAGTCATCCTAATTCGCGGAGGCGCTGCTTTCTACCTTACCCCGCCGGCGAAGCCGCCCCGCTTATCTCACGCGGCGACACCGGCGGGTACGACGCGATCGTATTGCGATTTCCCGTCGGAATTTACATTCCATCGCGCGAATACCGCGCGCACCGTTTCGCACGATGTGTATCTCCCATCCGCGCGCGCGGGACGGCCTGTTCCACGTAACGTGCACGGACGTGCAGGGAGTCCTGAAAGAGAGTTACGTTCGAACCTTAATACGTAACTCTCGCTGTGACGAGCGGGAAATCCGACCGTGTGGACAAAATCGCCGGTCTCGTCCCTCCGGACCGTTTTTCTAGACCACCCGGCCTCTCGTTCCTCCGCATAGCGAGCGAGGAATTCGCACGCGCCGATATAATAATGAGTCTCGCTCGATGAACCGACACGATCGCGTAATTTGCAAATAATCGTGCCTCGTGCCGGTCATTTGGACGAACTGTTTAATCATTCGCATAATCGCATCCTCGCCTCGGGTCTCTCTCTCTGATCCTGCTTGAAATGAACGCGAACGTGACAACTCGCCCCCACTCATTCGACGAAAAAAAAAAATCGAACTCGCTACCTGACTTGCCTAGCTAGCCGCCCGTCTCGTGCGAACCGTAAGGTCGACTTGCGGGGTTTTATTCATGATTTGACGCATCCTGCCGGAAAAAGAAGCGGAGGAGAGGGGCGACGGAGAAGACAAGAATAGGCGGGATACAAAGCGACGGGGTGGAGGAAATAACGGGCTCAGCTGCTAAATATTCAATAAACGTGAGCATTATTCGTCGCTGCACGCCCGAGGTAGATTATGGCGACGACGTCGACGAGGAGGAGGAAGAGGAAGAGCGGGAATATCGAAGTAGACTCGTGAGGAAAGAAGGATCGCTATTCATTCTCCGGAATCTCGCGATCGAGATTCCCGCTCGACGGTGTCTACAGAACGCCCCTCTCTCTCTCTGGAACGCCCGGGCTCGAATGCTACGTCGATGTATAACACCGGCCTGTCAATAATTCGACGTGAATCTACTACTCGTACGTACGAAAATGAGATACGGAACTGGCGAACGGAGTCCGCGAACGGACACAGATTGAGAATCCAATCCGCAGATAACGAGAACGAATGAGCACGAGGCCACTCGAGTCGAGATTTATTTCCACGGCGAGATTAGGCGGAGATCCGGCTCGCAGGCATTCGACTGCGATCCGATGTGACTCCTGGTTGGTAATTAAGAGCCCGGTGGTATCTCGTAGTCGTCGCCGAATCCGCTCGTCGCGTTTCTCGTTTTCCGTCTCGCCGAGTCTAAATTATACGCCCGGGCCGGCACCTTTCTCTCGCCTCGCCGAAGACGGGAGACGAAACGACCCCGCTTTGTGACGAAAGATATGAAATCGGCACTTCGCGACAGCCGTGGCGGAAACGACAACGTCGACGACGACGACGCCACGATCGGATGGATGCATGCGGGGGAAAACAAAAAATTCAAATCGCTCAATCGCCGCGATGAATATGGAATAGGATGCAGCCCGGGGACTTGACGACGAGATCTTTGTAATGCAGATTCGAAATGAATCTTTATCCAAAAATAATACGCCGGGGCTGCCGCCGACGATGCCGGCAGTTTGTATGAATAGAGGTAGGCGGGGGAGGGACGGACACACACATTTCGACGCGATGCATTATTCGATTTGATAAATTGTACGAAGAGCAGTGAAGAACAAAGAGAAGGACGGAGGGGGTAAAAGGGGGTAAAAGTAACACAAGTCCGCCATTCGCACCGAGTGCTCCTCGATAGACGCCGCTATGCCGCGCGCAATCTCGGTAATTCCCAATAAAACTCCTGGGAATTGAGTTGCCTTTTTCGTCGCGCGAGGTTTCGCGCAAGAAGCAGCAGCGTCAGCAGTGGCGGGAACCCCGACCGCGCTCTATTTACATATTATTACCTTGTTTACATATTTATTCAATAGCTAAGATCCCGGAGGGTCGTAAACACCCCGTAATCGGAGCTTTCTCCTCGCACGGCCCTTTAATTTCGGATTAAAGACTCGTGCGCGCGCGCGCGCGTGCCGACGGGGCGGTTAATAAATCACCGGGTGATAGCCGCTGCGAGATCGCGGCGTATTATCGATCGTAGCCACGTGGTGACGGTGTCGCCGACTCTTCGGAAGATTCGTCGGAACCGATTCTTACCTGCTTGTGCATCTCCACGTTGAGCCCGTACGACATCTCGTAATACTGCAAAAGTAAAGCGAAACAGAGAGATTAGATCAGACGGTATTGTAACGCGATATATGTATATTCATGTGTGTGTATCACACGCGAAATTAGTGTAAGCGTAGCGTTATGCGGCTGCATTGTAATATGCGTTTTGTTAACGAAGCTGCGTCGACGCTAAGCGTAAGGCGATACGTGCGTTCTCTCATGCAGAAGCCGGAACTTCGTCGGAATGTTGCCCCGCGCGGGAGGAACACAACGCGCGCAATTACGTTACGACTTCGTCGTGCCGCACTTTCGAGCGGCGGCGGCAGTGAGAGCGGCGAGAGAATTTTCCGTCGATCGGGACGCCGCGGTAGACTCGGGAGCGAATTTGTGCCACGAATTACGCAAATCGTTGCGGATACACGCCATCAAGATGAGAGAGAGAGATGATGATAAAAATGGAACGTTGAAAAAGAAAAAATCGCTCGACGACGAGACAATCCATCGGCGTGTCGGTCCCAAGCGGCGTGCTACGACCCGGACGAGCGTAATAATCGAGAGCGACGCCGTATAAAATATTACACGGCAGAATAAACGGCGAGGCCACTCCGCCGTGTGATTAATCGAATTATCGAGTTTCGTAAACCAAGACGCCGCCTTGAATCCGTAATGATCGACCGCGGGAACCGCCGCCTCCTCGCGGCAGTAGGATCCGTAAGAGCCCCTTCGCGATTGCAGGGTCGAGATTATATCGATCAAATGAGATTACGAGATTACGAAAAGCGGACCAAATTGAGCCGTAATGCGAGACTGCGGTCGGTAAGAGGGATAAGCGCGTCGAGAAAATGAGAAAAACGAGGAAGACCGAGGAAGGAGCGCGCGCTCACGGACGCTCCTTCGGCCCTCCTTTGGGAGGGAGAACGCGATTCGTGTAGGGAGCTCTGTGTGTGTGTGTGTGCGCGCGAGAGAACGCGTGTGCGTGTCGACCAAAGACCGGTTTCTGGTAACATCGTTTCTACATCGTGTGTACAAGACTCCAGCCGGGGCTGGCTTTAACTAATTCGCTCACCGAACACAGCGGTTCTCAGTTCGCACGTACGTACGTGATTTTCCACATCGTGGCGGTTCGCGGAGGGCTTCCCCGTTAAACGCGGCGTTTACGACCACAGACATGCGCGCGCGCGCACACATAAAACGTGGAGTTGCACGCGAAAACATTCGCGTCGGTATTCTCCGACGAGTGCATTCCAAGATCAGCAGCCGCGTATCAACAGAGCGAAAGAAACGGTCGCGACAACGGGACGCAGACTCTCTCTCTCTGCTCCTCCTCTCTTGGTCGCGGAGAAGAGGAAATCCCGACAGTTCGCGATTTTAACGAGCGTCTTGAATATAGTCGCTGCATTATATCCCGGCGAAATCAACGACCGTTGTGAAGCGGAGGAGCTTTATTGCCCGGCGATCGTAAAGAGCATACTAAACCGCGCTTTAATATATCGGCGCAACTACGACAGTCGGTTTAGAGTTTTTCTCGCGTGTACGAGGGTGCGAGGGGGGAGGGCGGTTATAAACGTAATAAACGCGTTAGAAGTCGAGAGACGAAGAGGGAAACGGTCGCGAAGATGGTTCTTTCTCACCCGTCGCGAACGCGACGTTCTCGCGCGCGCGACCTGAAATACCGGAGGAGTAAAATATTTATTTCGCGATGCGATAGAATTACAGTTAATACTTTAAACGCCAGCAAATTCATCTGAATGAATATTTTACGGGCCTGCTTCGGACAGGCCGCGATTAATTAAACCCGTTTGTTTTAATAATTCGATATTCATTTAGCGCGGTTTATCTTCGAAATTACGATTATTTTGTAAATTTGCGAGAGCGCCGCGATATATGTACGAAAATGCGAATGTAAAATTCGGCTGCGCGCACGTCGCTTTTAAATATAAATTAATCCGCCCGTATATTTTTATTACATTCGCGCTCGCGAGCATTATCAATAAATCGCGAAATGTATATTTCAATCGGCTCTGTTCTTGCGAAAATAATAATTTCGCTGAAAGCGCGTAAAACGCACGCTCGCGTTATAACAGAACGCAATTACCGCTTTTCCATACGGCCGACATCGCCATAATGTCGAGGACGGGCTGGGGAGGAGGACGATTAAAAATTCGCTAACGCAGCCTCGGGCCGTCGTTCCACCGCCACATTAGAGAACCGATTACCAACTACTCGATCCAACGTCTCGCGATGAAGCCCGACAAAGGATTCTCCACTCTTCGCACAAGATTCGACGGATTCGCGTAGTAAGAGAAAAGATGTGTGTATGTGAGAGAGAGAGAGAGAGAGAGAGAGAAAGAGCGAAACGATTAAGAATTGCGGCTACACGGAGATCGTCTCATTGCCGCAGACCGTCCCAACGAAGTAATTGGTCTTTAATTAATAGACTTCCCCCGAGGGAGAGACGGAGGACCGCGTCGGGAAAGGGAAAGAGGTCGGGATCTTAATTATCGCGAGACTGGAAACGCTACTCGCGCGGTCGAGACGTCTAATACGGAACGGAGCGCCGTGAACAGCGGCAGTCAGTTACGATAATGGAGTAAAGCTGCGTAAAACGTCGACGAGGCGACCGAGAATATTCACCACGTAGCACGGTAACCGCTATTCCCCGCGCGCGTTTCATCGCGCCAAAAATGAAGGAAGCGAAATCTCTCTCTCTCTCTCTCTCTCTCTCTCTCCTTGCTTTTCCTCCGCCGGTGTCTTTTCGTCTCGTTCTCGCAAAAAAAAAAGTCCAACTCCAGGTTTTTCCCGTCCACGTCGCGTTTCCCGCCGTTCGAAAAAAAAGCGACGCGATTCGGATTGTTATTAGTCGGGGATTTGCAGTGTGTCTAATAAGAGCGTGATTGGATAAACTTCTTCTTGGAAAGTCCGTTACATTGAAAACTTTTGAACGAGTAGGTAGAAAAATTCTTCCCTTACGACACATTCTACAGAGAGAATCTCAGTCGTTGTTCGACTTTCGCTAGAGAACGGCGTATTTAACGATAAATGCCGGAGTGTAGGTAGGTAGAACCGAGGTGAATCGGATCAATATAAGCTTTGAGAAAGTTGTCGTTAGTTTTTTTTTTTTGTTTCAAACGAGTGCGCGGAGATAACTAGCGCGATAAAACAGCTCGTTTACAACAAAGAGCTAACGCGACAACTGTCTCAGAGCTTATATTGATCCGATTCGCTCTGTGATCCAATTCGCCTCGGTCTACTCTACGGAGAATTTGAATGCCAAAGAAATGACGAAAATTTGCCAGGAGGCATTGATAGCATCTGCCGAAAGTGGTTTGGAAGTGAAGGTCAGGATCCTTCAAGAGGATAACGACCCAAAGTATTAGAGTCGTTTTAGCTCCCAATGGAAGAAAATGACAACGAAACATTAGACTGGCCAATAACAGTCACCAGACGGAAGTTCAATCGAAAATATCTGGGCATTAATGAAGATGAAGCTGAGAAGCAGAGAAAAATGCACTCTATGAAACAGATTCGTTGAATATGGCTGCTATCCTTATCTCGAGAATATGTTATAAGATCGATGAAAAGTACGCCTCGAAAACGTCAAGCGATAATTGACAATGATAGTGATCGGATGACTTATTAATACAAGAGCGTTGTAGTACTGACTGTATAATATATATTTGTTCATTTCTTTTATAATAAATAGTTGAAAAGTGATGTCGCTCTTATTAGGCAGACTGCATTTCGGCGAAATCAGCGGTCGCGTCGCGAGCGATTTGGTTGCGAAAACGACTCGGAGCAGCGGCGATCTTTCAATTCCCCGAGCAACCGGACGATACCGATCACGATCGATATCTACCCCGCCAACGTGGCCCGTCATCTCCCCCACTGCACGCGGGAGGGAGGGAAGACCCTTATCGCGGCTCTCTATCGTCCCTCAATGGAAATCGCTCTTGTTGCGAGCGCGCTCTCTTAGCGATGGCGACATCTCTCCGACCGCATACGACTTGCAAATTTCGCCCTCGATGTAGCCCCGCTTCACGGCCGAGTTGGCTTTGATTTAATCAAGAAAAACATACCTCCGCCGTACACATAGAACGCGAACGACGGAGGCCGCTGTTTACGCTCGTGTACGTATTCGCGTTTGCGAAACGATTCAATCAAACAACGTCGAGCAAACCCACGTCGCCTTCGCGCTCTCTAACGCGCGTTCCTCGTGTACGATGTATCATTTTTACCGTTCCGATAAAAGGAATTTCAGGAAGAGTTCTCGCGCCAACGGATGGAACGTTGCGGAATTATCGGCTTGCAGATACGTCGGATGGTATCGCGGCCGGATGAAGGAACGCTTCGCGGCGATCATCCGCCGCTCGTGGTTCGCGCGCTCGTAAAAGTTCACGAGCTCGACAATTACACGAAAGAGTCGTAAAGGCGTAATACCCCGCGGCCGGGCCGTATAACGTCGTATAACGACGTCGTACCGGGTATCCTCCGGCTCGCACGAACGCACGGCCGTACTCCGCGAACGGTGGCCGACGTCGATAACGAATCCCGAGGGGATTCGCGTTTCGCCGACGAACGGCCGGTCGGAGACGAGGCGCGCGTCATCGTGGTCGTCGCGCGGAAAACTCGAGGCGAGACCACCGGACGCGGAGAACGACCGCTTTATGTGCCGTTTAAGATATCTGGACTCGCGTAGTCGCGGTGGATAAACACGACAGCGGCTCGAGATAAAGTGAGAGAATCATCGTGGTATTAGGGGATTATTCCGGTGAAGTTGGCCCCACTTTTTCAAAATTTCAAAGAAATTAGCAGAGTTCGGTTTGCCCTCCGAAGAGTTCTGAAGTTCTTAATCGATTTTCAAGAGTTCCGTCGATTAAAGCGGTTAAAAACTATATGAAAATATGGAGAGGGATAACTTCATGATTGTGTAACTTCGTGAAGTGCCATAATTTTTTTATCTTAAAATTTAGCGCTTTGATCCTTATGAATAATCGATAGAACTGTCCGGGAAGCTACCGGAACATTCAACGGAACGCGAAAATTCCGAAAAAAGTCTGATCTTCTTGGACTTAAAAAATTTTAAACGACGAAACTCCGAAACGCTGAAACTTCTCAGGTTTTGGTCTTAGCGTATGCATTCTTAAAGATAAATTGGTAGAACTATTCAGGAGGTTATCGGAACTCTTAATGGTTTTGGAACGCCAAAATTCCGAAAAATGTTTCCCTCCTTAAAAAAATTGTTAATCCCGAAACTTCTACGCGCTGCAATTTAATATTAAATATTATATTAACCCTTAGCGAACGAATGCCGCCATATTCGCGACATTATATTCGTGAATATGGCGGCATTCGTTCGCTAAGGATTAATATATAAATATAAGAAAATATATATAAATAAATAAATATGAATAATATTATAAATCTCTATCGACAGCATGTATCTCATTGCATCACATTGAGAAAAGAAAATGAATAACATCATTAAAATGATATTCCTTCCCAACGCTAAGTATAATTTTTTGTTTATTTCATCAGAGAAATAGTAATAACGATATGCATATTATTATCACGCAAAATTATTATCATTAACATTATATCATTATTACCAATAACACATACTATAAAAACGATTTCCTCGTCCATAATCACTTCATTATATGATTTTATAGTCACAAATGACCAATACATTTTTTGTCGGTGTTTAATCCAAGTTTAATCTAAGTATCATTATACCCGTTTCATTATAGCCGTTTATTATTATATGGCACTTTCTGTCATCTTCATGATAATTGTCTGACTTGTGTCTGTAAGATGACTCATCTTTCGTGTGAATGAAATCCTCGACGATCCGAGGGACTTTCGCAGGCGCCTGACAGTTCCACGAACGAAAAGACGGCGCGTCGTTCGCTACAAATTACCGGGATTGCGAACGAGATGTGACGGTGAGATACGAATTGATCCGGTGCTCGCGCGCGAATTGCCGATGACGAAAAGGCGAGACAAAAGGCAGAGCGATCAGGCCCCGCAGCGATCAATGACTCGCTCGATGCTCGCGAACGGTGTTTAGCACCGGACGCGAGTAGTACCTGTTGCTACGTACGCCGGTCTAAACCCGATACTACGATAAATTCTTGTTACGTCGGTAATCAATCATCAATGATAAAACGGCGCGATAGGGTGCGCAATAAATATGCTTTCGCGCTCGTCGATCGAAATTTGATTAAGTGCATTCCGCGGTTTCGCCGCGCTTCGCGCGACGTTCCGTTACCGCGCGGAACAATGAGCGCGCGCGTTCGCGCTGTATCGGAACGAAAGTGGGATAAAGTATGATATGTACATTTAAAGCTGTCACACACGCGAGTGCCGAGGCCGATCGGTGGTGCGCGGCCGCGGAATAAAGGATCGATGCGCGGAACTCGCCCGAAGATCGATCGGCCGGTCGCCGAGAGGCAGAGGGAGCGGCATACCTGAACAACGCGCGAGCGAGCGACCTCCTCTCTCTCTCTCTCTCTCTCTCGTACGACGTGGCCGTACGTGAGATGATCGTACGATTAATCTTCGCGCCGCGTGAATCGGCGGAAGTGCCACGTCCACGCGAGAGCGAGCGCTGCGCATTTTATATAAAGTTATTTGCATCGACCGACCGATCGACCGACGTAACGCGCGCGACCCCGTCGACTATAGCCTATAAATTATCATGTGCGCCTATAATGCACGGCTTCACACGCGAGTCTTGGATAACGAACTCGGCCACAAACTTAAGGCCGCGCGTGGCATCTCAATGAAGCGGTCTGTCGTAGACGATTTAAAAAAATATAAGAAAAAATCGTCGGAGAATGAAATAGCGTGCACGCGCTTTCCAGCAAATTCACGGATTTCTTTTTAAGGAAAGATCAAAGTCTATGTTTTCTTTGAATCTACACATTAACAAAGATGTTAATTTTAACGAATATTATCAGTGACATATTTTATATGGGAGAAATTTACAGACATATTGTGTTAATCTTATCCGCAGTAACAGTTGATCTTAAAACTTAGGTAATACGAACTACATGTGTAGTAAAAAATATCAATTCATCATTAACATTTTCAATTTGTAAACAAGTAACACACGACGAATGAGCTGACGTAAAATTTAGAATGGACTTTTTGAGGACATGTGAAATATGTTAAAATAAACATTTTATATTTTACTACGTGTACTATTTGACGTATTAAAAAAAATCGGAAAGGATCTCGACGCGAATCGCGAACAGTGATAAAAGTGACTTTCTTAAAAACATATTTCAACTTTTCCGAAAGACCACACCGCGAAGAAACGTGGACGTGGACCGTAGTACCGCCGTGTATAGTAACTCGTCGAGTTGGGCGCAAGATTAAAAGCGGCACCCTCGGCGACCTTCGACCTCCCGCGAAGAAAGCAGTGCGCGCCTCTTCGCGCCGCTTAATGAAGACGCATACACGGCTGACGGTGTATCGCGATAATGAAGATCTACGGGCGAAAGTAAGCCGAGGCTCGCGGCGTCTGCGTAAATCCTCGCGGGACAAAGTCGAAAAACAAGAGCCGGAAGAGGGGCTCTCCCGCGCGTTGGCGAAGAAGCGACGTGGCCCGCTAATTTATGTTGCTATATTCAACTTACATCACGAGGTGAGTATTTTTTATCGCGGATCGGATCGCTCAATACGGACCGTCCGATTTTCAGACGCGCGCCTTTATTAAGACAAACGCAGAAGAAAAGAGCCAATTAGAGTCTGAATCGTACAATTATAATCGCACGATAATTGCCGAGCAAAAATCGCTGTCAAGCGCGAAGATGCCTGCTTGTTATTTTATTAATAAGGAAATTACTCTCTAAAGTACAATCAACGTATTATCAGTGAGAAGCAGTCAATAGTCACTAATGGTCATAATTATAAATAGGTAGCACTGCAAATCGATAAGATTTCACTGCAAAAGTCTGTTAATAGCAGCGACTGTTTCCATCGGGGAAATCTAACTGCGGAAATCTAACCGGGGAAATCTAACTGCGGAATCAGTGAAAGAAGATATTATTTATTACTTTTCTTTATTATCTTAATCACATTCTTAAGATGTTGTCATTAATTTTATTTGAAATATTCTTAATTATATTTAATCTATTTAATTTATTTCGTATTACAAGAATATGCTTATTCTGATGGGATCGGAAATCTAATCCTCTGGCTTTTGAGTTTGCTACCATACGAACTACGCCAAACACGACATATGGTTGTGAACGCATGTAGGGGAACCTGGGGACACTTGATCCTTTGGGAAACTTGATCCCTATTATTTCGACAATAGGAAAATTAAAATTTTTTTTTTCATATTGGCAGCGGTGTTCATTCTTAACTATAGGAAACGTTAAACGTTATTTTGACAATTGACCGATAACCGACAACAGAGTGAGGATATGTTTTAATTTTTAAGATGCACAATTCTTTTTTCGTAAATATTCAATTGTTCTTTAAGTTGTTAGGTTTTATAATTGGATTAAAACTCCGTAATGGAATAAAACGTTGGTTGCTTTAAGAATCACTACAAAGTTAGTCAACAAAAATTTGTTTACAAAAAATAAAATGAAAGTTTAAAAAAAGTGCTATTTGAATAGAAACGATCCATGCCAGATTGGGGACATTTGATCGACGAATCAAATTTCCCATACTCGAGTAATATAATTCATTGACGCTACATTCGTCCAAATTAGTTATATTGGCATTCATTGGGCAAATGTTACCCAATATAAAGATAGCCAGACCTGTAGAAGTAGATTTTGCGCACCAACTGTTATAAATTTTGCCCATAGTTTGCTAGCAGAACAGGATCTGGTAATCTAACCCAACAGATTAATCTGTTATCATACTCTGCTAGCAGATCCTGTTATATTTCTGTTGGCAAGTTGTCAAAATTTATAACAGATACTGCGCAAAATCTTCTTCTGCAGGTCTGGTTATCTGGTTGGCTTTATATTGGGCAACATTTTTTTAATGTATCAATAAATTATAATAATTCTGGATGCGATGTTACTCTTGCTTACGCAATTATTCTATAATAATTTTGACTGGTAAGAGACACTGATATCAAAATAAATACATATAACTTATTTTATATTTAAAATTATATTTTATAATTTGTTTAATTTTATAGAAACCTTTAATAAAGATTAATTATGATTACTTAATATATTTTATTACACTAATTAAAATTAATTACACTGTCTCCGAGTTAAGTCTGCCAGAATGGGGCATACTTGGCACACGTTTCGAAATTATTTTACTAAAATATAAATTTTTGAAATATTCAACAAAATCAAAAGGGAGAATCAAATGTCCTCGGGTCCCCCCACGTACATGGGTATATATTTCTTCTGCAGGACGTGTAACAGTGAATCTCTCACTGGCCAAAATCAGTGAAGTATAAAAGAGATAAAAAAGCAAAGAATGGGAATGTTTTCCTTAAAAATTAATGAATACATGAAAAATCGCATCTCTTTCAGTATACTCGCAGCGTTGCGTCGTGGCACAAATTTAAGCGAGCGGTCTAAATCCACTACTCTGGACGTCCGTTGCAACCCGCAACCGTTCGGCCAAGAGCGAGCACAAAAATAGATGCCGCGTGTATCCGCGAAGAAGCGAGGTAAACGCGCACCGCGTCGTGTAGCACCCGCGCGCTCGCGAGAAATTATGCAATCGATCATCCGCGATAAGGTTCTATAAGCTTGGACTCACCATGACGTAGTGGCGCTGCATCTCCGTCTTCTCCTGGGCGAGTTTCTCCAGCTCCAACTTAATACTGTACAGAACAAGCAGGAAATCGCACGTGTAAGCTAAACATTAGTAAGTGCAGGCGACATTCAAAAGCTGTGGGGGCAAAAAAAGAGAGAGAAAAAGGGTTGGTTGAGGTGGGGTTGGGAGGGGTTTGGCCTATTGGGACGAGGGAGTAGTATTTGTCGTCGTCGTCGTCTCGTAGCCGCGTCGGCTAATAGAGAATGTAACGAGATTATCGAGTAATCAGCGGAGTCGCGAGGGTCCGAGACGCGTGGTGAGAACGAGGAACGCGATCGTGTCGAAACGTTCGTTTCATCGGCGGACGATTACGCGGCGACTCGTTAATCCGCGCGCGCCCCCGCTCTGTCCCGGATTTTTTCGCACGTGCCTTTTTAATCGACCGAAGCTGATTCGTTCTTCTCATTACGCCCCCATATCGAGGATATTGCGGAGGGGTGGTGCACAGCCAAGCCATTAAAAACACACAATTAGTGCAGCCGCAACAAACATCGATAATAATTGTTATATACTGGCGATTGTGTGTTTGTATATTCGTGTGCTCGTATAAGTTATGTACGCATGTTGCGTATAAATGTGTGTGTGTGTGTGTGTGTGTGTGTGTGTGAATTTTGCGTTTAGCAAAGTGGACTGTAGAGAATATTGGGAGCGTCACGACCGAGCGAATAATTCATAAAAACGCATTCGCCGAATCGACGAGGGGCGTTGTATATTTAAATACAAACAATCACGAGCGCGTTACCAGTCGTCAATGTTACATGTAACGAGACCATTCTTCGCATCTCGCCCGCCGATTAATCATTCTCGCAGGATGTGCGATCGCCGCGCGAGCAAAAAACGCTCGCGAACGCGCGCTCGAATCGACCGAATTTTCTCTCATTCCCGCGAGAAGAAAGTTAATACGAAATCAATAGGAGAATCGGCGGCGGGTGGTAGTGCGCAGGTTCATTAAGAGTTAATCCTCGTCGCGCGCGCTTTCCCCCCCAGACGCGTTAAAGCGCGTATTAATATTCACTTGGCCGAGCATGTTACCCGGCCGCTCGACATCAGCCAGGGACAAAGGCCCGTCCGCGGTGGCGATAACTTTTTTAACGACGACAAGCCGCGTCGTATTTTTGTTTAGCGCGTTCGCTCCGGCGGCGGCGGGAAAATAATCTCGCGCGGCGGTGGTCGACAAAACCGCTTGTACGCCGGCAAATGAATGCGTTCGTATGCCTGTAACGCTCGAGCGCGTCGTTCCGCGACTGTATACCTACGATAACGAGAGTGTGGCTGTGCGTCTCTGTCTGTGTGCGAGTGTGATTCGTGTTTCTACCGTGTTCCCGGTATTTTCGGCGAGCGCGGCCGCGACCAAACGCCCCGCGATGCTCGGCCGGCGATGATAATTTTCCCCTGGGGCTTTTTTCCTCGACGCCCACACTCTCTCTCTCTCTCTCTCTTTCTCTCTCATTGGGCGCGCGCGACCGCGGAATTACGCCTGGCAGAGCACACAAAACTCGCGCGCACTTTGGAGATTCGCGTCCGCGGACCGTTTTCCTTTTAATTTCGCGAACGCGCGCTGCGTAAACGCGCTGTCGCGCGCGATTCGGAAAATTGATCTCGACGTGATCGCGTCCGCGGCGTTTGAATAATTCCCTCCTCCCCTTGCCGCCCGCCCCGGCTCTCTTACGTTCGGCTCGTAATTCCTCGCAATTTCGCGAAAATTAAAACAGCTCCATCGCCGGCCGAGCGATATCTCACGTATCCGTGCCCGCGACGAGAACGAATGCATTTTAATCTGGGAACAACGGCGAGATGATTCATGTGTTCTGTATATGGGCATACGCGCGCGTGCGTGTGTTTGTGTGTGTAACGCGCTGGCCCTTTCTACGTCCTCATCTTTCTCCCCCGGCTTACCATCACATAATGCCTCTGTATCTCTATTTTTTCACTGGCCAGTTTCTCGCACTCCAATTTAAGGCTGTACAAGAAGAACAAGAACAGAGCATTAATATCCACCAGCCCTCGAAATCGCGGAGCCATTGTCTCTCCGCTCGTCCTACCGTTGTCGCCCGATGTCGGGGTTAAAAACGCGGAGGCCCGAGGTAATACCGTATACCGCGAACGAGACAGACAGGCAGACTGAGAGAAAGAATAAAGCGGGCAACCGTCAGCGTACCGGTACGGTAACCCGTAAAAAAAGTTCAACGAGCGATAACGAACATAATAAAGACTGTTTTTACGGATCCCCCGCTATTGAGTCAGCGCCCTAGGGGGATGGAAAAAGGCAAAGGAGGAGAAAGTTGGTGGAGGGGGGGGGGGGCCAATAATAATAACGTTACATTTCCTTCCACGGCGATATTCCCTCTCCTCTCTTTTTTCTCAGCCGATACACGAGACGCCGTTTAATTCGATTCGCAGAGAAGAAAAAAGATAGAACGGTAATTCCGACGAAGCGCGTTTAATATTCGTGAAAGGCGAATCGTGGAACGAGCTATATACGGCGCGGCGCAATCTCACCTCTAAGGCGATAAATTAGCACGGTATTAACGATCGCGAGCGCGCGCGAGCGGTAACTTTCGTTACGCAAGTGGCGATACTCACGCGCGCGCGCAGAGTCGATTAATTATTTCGGATTGACGCGGCGCAACGATTTACGGGGCGATTTATCGGGAATCACGTTGCGCGATTAAAACCGCGCGCGACTACTATAATGCGCGCGCGCGCGCGGACGATGTAGCTCTCGCCGTTTCACCGCGAGTCGCGCATATATTTTTACCCTTCCACGATTAATCTCCCGATTGACGAGTGGCGATATTTATGAATACTCGTTTTCGTCAAAATGTTTGCGAACGCGCGCGCGATTAAATTTACTCATTCCCAAATACGCTCGCAAATACGCAGTCGACCCTTCAATATTTCGCCCTTTCAATTATTTTCTCATTTCCCGGTGTTTTACATAATCGGCTCTCTCGCGAAAAGAGGGGGGAGGGGACGAGGGTGAAACCGAGGGAAGAGACACGGCTCGTTTTCTAGCGAAACGCGTAGCGAGAAAATCGACGCGCGGGGGGGCGTAAATTTAACGATCGAATAAATTCGCGACATTTTGCAAAGTCGAACCGGAGCATGAAGAGCAAAACACGCATGTGTGTGCCGCGGAGAAAACATTCACGCCGCGATCGCTGCTAACACACGCGCCGCGAACATGCGCGCGCGCTATCCAAACGGGGTCTTCGCTCCTTCTCCGTGTGCATACTTCGGTGTACACAGCTTCCGGTCAGACAAACAATTATCTACCTACGTCCGCCATCCATCCGTCCGTCCGTCCGTCCGTGCATTTCGCGCGCTCGCCCACACTGTATTTGCACGAGCGCCTAATGGATACGGCCCTGTCGACGGGCGCGAACGTTTACTCCGTTCGACAAACTAATAATCGAGAGATCGGCGGAGTTTATATCGCGTTCGAGTAACCGTGGGAGAATATTTTTACTGGGAACACACGAAGGAGAATCCCAGACGGGTGGATGTTTTCGTTGTCGGAGGTACCTATGAAATCGCGCGAAGCGTCTCGCGCGGTAAAAAATTTTGTGTTACATTGCGGTGCGCTCAAATTTTTGTGTTACTTTATCAAGGCGAATATGTTAAAAAACTATTGCGTTAACAAGGTGAATAATATATTAATTTAACATATATTTGTACACCCTTTTAATACATTCCCCGGATTAAAGTAACCCGAAAATTTCAGAGTGCGCCGTTTTTAGCATAAAATTTTTTACCGCGCAGTGGACAGTTTGCATCGATATAAACTTCGCGTCGACTCGCGTGATTTTTAGAAAACCGCGAGACACACGTTCGATTTCTATCTAGAAAAGTTTCTCTCATGAAAATTCACATCGGTGAGTACCGCGGCGCAACCGAGACGTACGCTCATGTATGGCGCTTAACAAATGGATTTCCGAGATTTTGTTGGGAACAGCTCATAATTATCGTCCTCGAGATGAGACGGGAACGGCCGATAGTCTCATTTGAGAAAGTTCAGACAGTGAACAAAGAAATTAAGATACCGCGTACGTCTTCGATTGACCGCGACTCACGAGGACAAATCTGCGGACAATGGGGAAAAGAAAGTGGATACCTGTGGTACTGGGCCTGCAGAAAGTTGAACTCCTCTTTGATACGATCACAGGAGTCGTTGATCGAGAATTTGAAGCCCTGCCCAGGCTGTGGCGGACCCTGCAACACAAGGAAGCCATTAATGCAACGACGTGCTCGGGATGTCCTTTGGCGCTGTTTGATAATCATACAGAGGAACAGAGTAGCAGAATATCGTTATGCACAAATAATAATAGTAATATTTGCTTCATTGGTAAATACATTTATTTAACTAACAGGCAATTTGACGACTGTATTTTGAAACGTGCACGAGAAAGATGCACGACCAAATAACATAGGCATCAGCTTTACAACTGCTATTACTGTCTGGACAGATCCCTGCCCCCTCTAAAGTAAGAAAAACGGTTTCGCTACTTATAAACGATCACATTACGCAATATATTCCAATATTAGCGAAGGAAACGTTGCTGCGTAGGAAGCCGAACGAATCTCCGCTGGCAACGTACTTATCATATTTTGCCGGCCAGGAAGAAAAAAGCGGTCTCTCCGACGAAAACGCTGCTCGTCTCTCGAACGCAACGCCGATATCGCGGAAAAATGAGAGAAGCGCGAATATACTCTCTTCTCGCTCGCTGTATTCGTCGTCCGACTCGCGGGAATTGATATACAGGATGATGTCGGACGAAGAGAGGAAAAGTGAACGAACACCGTCATTCGTCGAATGCAGCATATACCTCGTAGCGTATACGCCGGCTGACTTTGGCGGCTGCTGTATCAGCGCCCACGAGCGTAAAAGCCACATTATTACCGGTAGTACCGGTGCTACCCACCTCCGTATACCTGTTGGTAATAACGTTACGAGCGTGTTATCGATCGTTTTGCACGTCGTGCCCCGCAAAACGGATACGCCACTATGGCCTCGTAAAAGCCGGAATAGCTCTCCCTCTCTCTCTGTCCTACCGCTTTCTCTTTCTCTCTTTTACGCCAGATCGTTCCGTCGCGTCGCACGATCTAGATTCCATGACGGCCGAAGAATGCCGGAATCGCGGTGTGTTTCGTGCGGGAACTCGCTAACGATTCGCCGGCGCGACCGCGATCGCGTATAATGAAAATCGTGCCAGAACTCGTAAAGTAAGAATCACCTAGCGAGCACATTATCGCGCTGATGACTCGCCTATGAAGCCTAGTGACACCGATAGGGCGACGTGACAGCCCGACAACACACAAAACTGCACGACGGATGATGAGAGCATTTCGCTCTAAATAAAGGAAAAGTTAGTATCGGCCCTCTATTGATATATTATGTAACAATCAATATTTTTAATTGAAAACTTCACGATTACATTAGTCAAAGTACCGTTCAATCGATTCTAGACTCAAAGTTAGGAAATGGTGAGAATTTGAATATTCGTATTCAGAGGGCAAAACAACAAGGATGTCCAAAGTTAGATAGGGGAATCCGGAGCTAGTTGGCTAAAGGAGTAAGTTGGCGAATTGATAATTTCTGCTATTTTCCAACGGATTACAGAATCAAGCGAGCAAAGATTTATTAAACGGGGGCCATAATATCTACAAGGATCATAATACCGCCTTTTTCTCCAATTTTCGCCCTTAAAAACCACCCTTACAGAGTTATCGGCTAGTTCACGAGATACTACGATCGGTTTTTCTCACGCTTCGCGCGCTTGACGCCTCATTTCTACGTTTCATGCTCGAAGAGGAACAGAGCGCGTTGAACGATACATTTTAACCGTGCGGTGGAGCCGCACGGAAAACCTTGTAGCTACCGCGTGTTCACCGCAACGTGCTTTATTAATCTCCTCCGCCTCGAGTCGGACTTCCTGGCGCGTTATCGCACGTGTACGTTCGAATTACGGAGAGGATTTGCGCGCCAGGCGTGCAATATCTTTAAACGACTCGGGGCTCAGATGGACGGAGCCGTAGCGAACTACATTGCGCGTCTCTCGCTTGTTCGCTAGCGGAGGCGCGCGTACACACACGCGTTTGCTCGCACCTAGAGACCTGCGAGTGACTCCTTTACGTTTAAACGAACGTAACACGAGCAAACCCTCAGCCCCGGCCGGTACGTTAACGTGAATCAGCGAACATCAGATCTGATCGCGGCGGAATCGCTGATCCGATTTGTATGCGACAAGTCATGACGGTAAATCCAATTAATTTATTGGCTTTCGCCGCGGAACGGCGGACGTCAGACGACGACCACCACCGGCTACACCACCACCACTATCATTACTATTACCAGCACTGATGCGCTTGACATTTTCCGGCACAGCTCTCGTTAGCGGATCGATACGAGACGAGAACGTCGACATTAGGAGCCGGCGGAGTGTATTTCTACATTCGCGACTCATCACGGCCATAACTCCTGCAAATTACGCTTATCTACGGGCGCGCGCGCGGCAGACTTATCTGTCTATAATAACCCACCTACTTATATGGTCTATAAATACGGGAAAATAATGTCAATATCACCGACATCACAAACGTCGGAAAGCGTCTCGCGCGATAACGAGAAGGGGAGGTCATCCTTGATCGATTGATTTTTCCCTTGAATCGGAAATATTCGTCGCTTCACGCGCGCGCGATTGAACGACGAGAGGACAAGCGTAGCGATGATGGGTTTCCGCGCGCAACGACGACGCACCGACCGGTGGCGATGCGGTTTAGCGTCCGTCGAAAAGCGAAGCGCGAATTATGTCGTTTCGACGAATAATAATGAGAGAACGTAGCCGTCGTGCATGTCAATCAGTGTCCTTTACGTGCCGCGGCCGATTTAATTATCCGATAGCCTCCTCCTCTCGCATCATTCCGCTCCCTCTTTCCCGCCGCGCTTTTTATTCCGCGCGATCGAGAGCCATCGGAATGGCGCGTTCGTTCGTTCGCGCGCGTCGGCGGTATTCAAATAGCGCGTTATCGCCGACACAACCACCGTGAAAGCGATAGCCGGACGGCCGGATAACGACGAACAAGAATTGGCATTAAAGCGCAACGATCGCGCGCTACGATCGCGCTTTTATTGGTTTTCGAGTCTCGGGCGACATTTAATACGTCGCGCGAGATACCGGGATTAACCGCATCGCGGTACATTACCGCTGACGACTCAATGGAGCGTGCGACCTCCACCTCCGCAGCTTCGAGCGGGCGGTTCGTTAAAGCCGACGGCGACGACGTTTACGGTCAACACTGTCTTCGCCGTCGACAGAGAGACGAGTCGACCGCGCGCCACGTTTACGTCCGACTAACGGCAACAGGACCAATCGGTTGCGTTTCCAGCCACTCAAGTGCGCTTAAGTGGCGCGTATCGCCGCGTCTAATTACGTTAGCTCCATCGATCCCCGCCGTCGTCCACTAGATGCCTGATTATCGGCGCGTATTATCGGACAGGTTAACTGCTCTCTACGGTGTCCCCCGCTTGTGATCAAGTCCGTAACCAAACACGAGGCACGCGCGCTCAAGTGCCAAGAACATTTGCTCATCTCGAGGTACTACGCTAAGCGGCCGTTGTTGCAGCCCTGCGTTAGCAGGCGTGCCTGGAGCGGAAGTAACGACGCCGGCGATCACCGACGTTCGACGCGTCCCCTCGACGTCGTCAAGATTCACGATTGAGAATTTTCGTTGCGTCAACGTTTCCTCGCGTCGTCTCCGCGAGGCCTCGTGAATATTCTGCGAAATTTCACTTTATGAAATTGAATTTTATTCATCTATAAATTATATCCAATTTCTCAACAATATTATCATCGTTCCATTCGTTTGACAGAGAAGGAGACGGTAAACACGACGGGGGAATTCGTTCGATCGAGTTTGCCGCGACTTAACGTTCGAATAGGAGCAGCCAGAGAGCCGCTAGAGAGCCGCCGCCTGCGAGAGTTGTATCACTCCGGGCGCCCGATATTCCACGCTAATCAAAGAGACGGTGGAGTCTCGAGAGTCGGTGGCCGCGCACACTCGTCCGCTTTACTTAGAGGCTCTCTCTCTCTCTCTCTCTCGTGAGAAACTCGCTAAGCCATGGAGGATTACGCGGAAGGACGACGCAAACAGGGAGAACGGCCGAGAGAAGAGCTTCGAGGGTCGGCGGTTTTCGCCGCACCGCAAAACCACCGACTCGTGGCGCGGATTCCAAAACCACCCGGCGACCAGAACCGACCGCGCTCGCCCTATAAGCGAACCTCTCTCTACCACCTTCCGTTATTCCGTAGAGAGCCACTGGTCGCGAAATATCGTCGAAACGCCGCGGAGCGGTGAGAAGATTAAAACATCGCCTTTCGCGCAACTCAGCCGCGCGTCTCACGAGCATTGTGAACTTCCTAACTGCTCGATAACAAGCGCGGAACAACGAAGGAAATCGACGATAACGAGGAGTTATCGAGTATTTTTTTTTTTTCGTTTTTTATCACGGGCTCAAATTAGACGAAAAACGATATCGATGACGAGCCGGGGTATAACAAAACCGATTGCTGAACGGGTGAGCTGGGCAAACCCGAGCACGATCGAATCCCGGAAAATTATGCAATGCGATAACAATTCCCTTAATATTGCTAGACAATATGGCTCAAGATTTGCATGAGACGAGGAGTGAGAATACGCGAAGAACCGATAGAGAACGAGGGAGATGGAATGAGTGACTGAATTAGAGAGAGAGAGAGAGAGAGAGAGAGGGGGGAAGAGGAAACGGACGTACGAGCGGTTGTATCTTATTGATCATTATGATTATTCCCCGTAGCAGACTGCGAATTCACCCCGAGACTGCGGGGCACGACCGCTATTTGCATAAGCAATGCATTTTGATTCGTAGACCCATATTGTACTCGGCACGGGGAATGACATAAATAATGCATAGAATAATGATAGCGCGTTCCCCCGCTCGCTCGCTCAGTGGCGCGACGCGTCCCGCGAAAACGGGTTCCTATCGCAAAACGAGACGATCCTCGCGCGCTCGTAATTCTTCGGTTATACTGAAATCGCGGTGTACTGCGCATGCATTTCGTTCCACTCCCGTTAAGTATCAACGACGCGTTATATTCCAGCTATTTCGCGGTATGATTCGCGTGAAACCGGCGAATCCGCGAATAGACCCGTGCATGTCGCGAACATTGAACCCC